AATTAGAGGCAGGGAAACCAATCATGGGGTTTGTGTAATCAAGGCAAGAGGCCTAAACTAGAGAAGAAGGGATATACCCGATACAGGAGGGGCAGGGGACACAACTGATAGAGATAGCAGCAAATTAGAATTGATTGAGTTAGAATTAGCAGTTCTTAGTGTCACATTGTATAAGACGGGTGATGGATAACTAGGACTAAGCCAATGGGGAGGCTTCCCAGAGCTGGTTCACATGACAATTCTGCGTGGACTGAACTTTAGTCACGTAATAATTAGCAGCAGTGGAATGCGGGAAATGTATTCTTTTTTTCCTGGGCAGCCACATGATCAGATGAAAATAGGTATGTATGTACTTATTACGGGGGACAACGGCAATTGTTACTACCCATACCTGTATTATAGCTGCACTATTTTAATCAGTGTTACCCTTTCCTGAGAAGAAACTGAGAGCCCTTCAAAGGCAAGATGGAGTTTTATTATAGCTGCAGCAACCTGTGGTGCCCAGCACACAGTGGACACGTAGATATCTATAGTGTGTTAAAATTAAATGATCTTGTTGTTGCTTAGAAATGTTTCATGTTCTTCCTCTTTGAGCTTGGCTTCAGATGACTCTTACACCTTTTGTGTGTTCACACTTATTCCTGTCAAATTTCTGCCATTCCTTCATAACTCAGCTCAGGAAGTTGGCTATATAGCAATCATTCCTTAGAATGTGAACAAATGCTATTTTTATTCTGAAAAGTGGGTACATTAGTCCTCCCTTCCTTATCTGCAGTTTCAGTTATCTATAGTCAACTTGCAACATCACAATTCCAACGCTCAGTGATCCTCTTTCTGACTGTATATTCCAGAAAGTCAATAGTAGCCTAACACTATGTCACATGCCTATGTCATTCATCTCATTAGGTGGACACTGGGTCATCTCACATCATCACCAGCAAAAGAAGTATACAGTACAATAAGTTATTTTGAAAGAGAGATAACTTTCATATAGCTTTTATTATCACATAACTTTTATTAAGTTGTAATTATTGTTTTATTAGCAATTATCATTGTTAATCTCATTCTATGCCTGATTATAAATTAAGCTGTATTTTAGGTATATATATAGGAAAAAATAGTATATTAAGAGTTGGATGCTATCCATAATTTCAGGCACCCACTGAGTATAGGGATAAGGGGAGAATACAGTACTTACATTTCTAAAAATTTTAATTTTACTAGAACTTCCAAAAGTGTTCAGAATAGAGAAAAAGTTCAAGGCAAGATGGTAACACTAATGCTTTCTCCAGTGTCTAGTTATACATTTTCAATTCTTTAAATAAAAAGTTGGAGAAAACTGAAAAAAATGGAAGGATAGAAAAAGTACACTGATGTACTAAGGAAAATGAAGTATTAGTATTGAGTATGAGACCAAGAAACTAGAAGAATTGTACAACATTGGCAGAAGTAGAAAAGGTTCAATGTTAGGGTGGAGGTTTGGAGATAGAGTGATTTTATGACAAAGATTTCTCAGTCCTACAATAAATTATTTTTTCACCTGCTAAGAAAAATGAACTTTTTTTTTTTTCTCGATGTAAGCAGCAAAGAGGTGTTTATTGCGAGCTAGCTCGGTCCTCCGTGCACACACACAGCAGCTGGTGATGCTGAGAGGCCCCGAGCCCAGGGTTTGCAGCAGTTTTATACAGTCTTTGGAGAAGGCAGGGACTTCACATACATCATAGCATCTCTTAGCAAATCATCACACACCGTGGGAAAATCAAATAACAACTCTAAAACATGATTAGCACATTCACTGGTGGGAACAAGTTGGGTAGGGGTGATTGGTYASTACAARAGGGGKATTCATTTGAAYTGATTGGTTTARGCCAMGAGGRGWRTASGTGCTGAACTACATGGTTTCCCAACATATTATCAACCACCATAAACTACTGGGAGGGTCATCTGGCATCCCAGGTATTTCCCTGTCTCATGCTGATTGGTGGCTGCTAGGGGGTTGCTATGGGTCCCCACCTAGCCTGACTGAGTCCAGGACACCTGGCGCAGCAGATCTCTCCTCTTATTTGTAGATAAACAACTTAGCAGGGTGGGAATGTGCTTAGGAGTGCTCTGTGTGTTTTTCCAAGGACAAAGGATGCCCTTCCTTGGACAGGCTTTGCTCTGAGGTAGAGGCTGGTTTTTTATTCCCCCCTTTGTCTGGAAACTTGGGAACCAATCATGGTTTCCTCAGTTGGGGGCCTATTTGGGCTGGCTCTACATCTTGGTAAACAGTAATCCTCAGGGGACAGTCTTCAACTTCCCAGACTCACTCAAAATTGGCCTCCTAGATCCAACCTGACTCGATTTACCTATCTACACTGCCTATCCCGAAAAATGAACTTTTTAGAACCAGATCTGATCATACCCTTCCCTTACCAAAAGCCCAGCAAAGTTTCCTCATTATTTTCAATTTGAAGTTCAAAGTCTTAGTAAAGCCACTTAGTTCTTGCTTTAAATCTTTTGATCTTAGTTATAATTCATCAACACCTATCTTCTCTTTCCTTGATCTTTGGAAAGGAAACTTCCTTATGTATCATTGAATTTTTATCTTTTCTCAGAAAATAAATGTCTATGTGACTATATTGAGGTAACTAATGGTTGAAACATTTTTACAAAATGAAATGAAAATCATTAATATTTTWAAAAAATTCAGAGTAATAAAGCTTTATACCCCATCTAGATTAAAATTATTCAAGATTCAAATGATCCATAATTTATTAATGTATTAAAGATTGACTTGCGGGGGATGGAATCCAGGGGACCTCTACCATTGAGCTTCATCCCTGCCCCACCTCAGTTTTAAAATTTGGAGACAGGGTCTCCCTAAGTTGCCTAGGCTGGCTTTGAATTGCTATCCTTCTGTCTCAGCCTCCCAAGTTGCTGGCATTAGAGGTGTGCACCACAATACCCAGTTCCATTTGATTTATCACTTATATAATTGGAGGATTATTTAAATATTAGAAGTAAACAGGATTGAGTAGCTGTTTTTATCTCTCAAATTGCATATTAAAATTCTGCTTGTTGTGATCAATGACACATTAGAAAGTAATGAAATCTGAAAGTGATGTAAACAGAAGTAAAAATGTTTTGGGCTGSGTTGTGGCTCATTGGTAGAGTGCTTGCTTAGCATGTGTGAGACACTGGGTTCGATCCTCAGTACCACATTAAAAAAAAATAAACAAAATAAAGTTATAATGTCTATCTACAAGTAAAAAAGAAATCTTTAAAAAAATGTTTTGGGCATTAAGAAGATGAATAATTAAGAAAGGATGCCTCATACTTACCTGGTAACCCAAACTCTAAACTCAGACTTACCCAACTCTATGGGGAAAGTCAACCTGATATTACCTTGAGAAATTTAAGCTTGGATATGGGAAGTTAAATGGACTAACTAAAAACTGCTCCTAACCCTACTCCCTTTGAATCTTGATAGTAGTAAACAGTCCTTTGAATTTTTGAAGACATTATTGATACTGTCACACATGGAGACATAGAAAATTGCTCTTACTCCTTGATCTTCTGGAAACAAGAGTTTCAAGTCCAAATATTACTCTCCCTCGAAAACTCTATTTTTTGGTGAGATATTTTCCAGAATTTCTTTGAATTTCACCGAGCTCATATATTATGTGTTTTTTTTCCCTTTCAATATGGACAATCATTTTCGTTAGTGACAGATGTTTAAAGACTAGATTGGAATTAATCCCTGTATTAGGTTTTAGCTTCTTCCAGAGTATGCATAGAATGAAGAATCAAGGGACGACAACACACTAACCTATAAGAAGACTCCTGTCTTAGTATATTACCTTCAGGATCATTGGGAGTTGGGTCTTGAAGAAGATAATCAAAATATATTTATTTTGAAGGAAGAGGGGCCAGGAAAGCTAGAATGAGTCCAGTATCATAAAGCTCACAACTGAGTTGTGTGGATCAGAGGGCAGAATGGGTCATTTCAATCTAGTGTTCTCCTTGCCATACAGCAGCTGGATGCTGTCAGTGTGCAGATGATGGCTGACCCATACTAGAAATGGTGTCCACAGTCAGGAGAGGGTTCCCCCAGGTGAARCAAGGTCTTCTCTCACATTCAGAATGTGGAAGATGCCATCCATTCAAGAGAATACTCTAGTTGTTTTTACTAATGAAGCAGAATGCTACCTTCCTTTTATATAACTATATCCAACCAAGGTTTTTGGAACTCAGCTGAAAAACTTAACACATTCTTTTGGGAGGGTGGGTAGTGTGGAGAATGTTTCTTATCTCTGTGGTAATCTGATTGAAAAATGTAAATCCTTTAACTAGGAAAATGCATCTGTCCACAAATTTCAATGAGTTTGATGCTGTGGAAGACCATCCCAGACCCAATACTAATCACTCAGGGTCTGGAATTCTGGGTTTGGATTTCCTTAATGGCATTCCTTAGCCCAAATATTACCTGATATTAAAATCACTTGGGGGAACTTAAAAAAAAAATCTCAATGCCCAGGCCAGGCCACATCCTGTTCCAATTAAGTCAGAATCTCTGGAGATATTGATTATCCAGGAATCAACCCATAAATATTTTAAACTCTCCCCCAGGTCCCAAAGCACAGCAGTTTGAGAACCATCACACCAGTCTCTTTGTCTTGCAGTGGATCTACTGTATGGTCATTGGCTGTTTTAAATCACTGTGTCAAAAACAATAGAAAGCTCTGGGCTGGAGAAATAGTTTACTTAGAATTATGTTAGAAAAAAAGAAGTTAGATCAGAGATGTGCATGACTTCGCAGGGCGTCCCCTGGCTCCACAAGCAAATGCGATTTCTTCAGCGAACGCCAAGGGGCGCCATCTCCCTCCCGGCTGTACCTGGAACGCCTTTCCTTTTCCGACCRCACAAAGAGCCCGACCTCCTCCCGGGTGACATCACAAAGGGCCGGTTCCCCGCCCCTTCGGCGCCACCACGTGTGTCCCYGTGCTCAACCGCCACCCGACTCAGTCCCTTGCCGGCGGGTCTGGGCAGCGGAGGAGGGTGTTTGGTAGTGGCTGGAGGCTTCGCTATGGGAAGTTGTCCCTTTGCTCTCTCTGGGCCAGCCCTCCTCCCTGGTTCTCCGCAGCCGCTGTCTGAGGAGAGCGCCGGGAGGCGCAGGCTGCAGCCGCGGCTGTTTCTCCCAGCCCGGGCGGCCGCGCCGCTCGGCAGGTGCTGAGCGCCTCCAGAGCTCCCTTGCCACCTCCCTCCCCTGTCCGGCTGCCCGGCTGCCGCAGTGCACATGGGGTGTTGGAGGTAGATGGGCTCCCGGCCCGGGAGGCGGCGGTGGATGCGGCGCTGGACAGTAGCAGCCGCCGATTCCAGCTGCCGTGGGGCCACGAGCCCCGGGCGTCCCTGCGAGCCCCCGGCTCAGCCATGGGGACCTCCGCGAGCAGCAGCACCGCCCTCGCCTCTTGCAGCCGCATCGCCGGCGGAATTGGAGCCACGATGATCGTGGGCTCCCTTCTCCTGGTGAGCGCTCGGGGGTACCGTGGGTGGCGGCTGCGCGGAGCACAAGGAGCCGCTCTCTGGGAACGGGGCGGGTCCCCCGGCTGCTAATGCAGGAGATGCTGGGTCGAACTAGCTGGGGTGGAAGGTTGCAAGGGAAGCCAACATAGCTTAGGGCTCCTAGTAGGTCATTTGGGCTCTGGGCTCAGCTAGGGTTTGGGAATGAAGGCGAATTGTTTTCCTTGCTGTCTGGTTGCGCTGGAGGAGGCGCTAGAGGTGGCCGCCCGGCTTCCTGCGCATTTCAGGGCTTTTTTCCCTACTTGGCCTACCTCTCACCCTCTACATCTACCCTCACTCCGACGTCCCCGCAACCCATCCGCCGCTGCTCCTTCTCGCATGGTGTGGGGCCGGAGCTGCAGTATAGGGCACCCACGGCTAGCCGCTTTGTTGCAGCTGCAGTGTCATGTCGGGATGCTACTGCAGTGGGAGAGTGGTACCGGTGCGCGTCGGATTCTGGAGACCTCTGGGTGCTTCCGCTGGGTGCATTCCGTTGCAGGGCACAGGCCGCCCCTTTCTCYATCCCTCATACCATCTTTCTTCTCTCCTCCCACTTGGCTCGGGTGGGTCTGTTTCTGAATAAAACAAACAAACAAAAAATAAAACAAAAACCTTCACTCTCAGGCGCCTTCAAAGCATACCCGAGCGAAGCCAGCCAGCATGCTGGCACCAGGTTGGTGGAGGGGGGGAGGGGAAAAGAGATCTACATAAAGGAAGATTTATTTCCTCCAGTCTTCACCATTTTTCGTTTACCTGTGGTTAGGCAGGTGACCCTGCAGGGTGATGCAGGCTCCTTCAGCACCCAAACTGCATCCACACCTGGGGTGTGCCCTCTGCATRGTCCTCTAGCACTTGTCTGACCAAAGCCTGAAAACATTCTTGACCCAACACTTATAACTTCTCTGAAAGTCCCTGCCCCTTGTTTCTAATATTGGGTGAAGGAGTGAATTAAATGGAAGAAATGGATGAAATCATACCTTTAAGCCAACGTAAGTTTTCCATTCTTTCATCCCTGCATAGAGGATGGAGGTTGTTAGCTAAAAACCTAACAAAAACAAAAACAACAACAAAAAAGAGGCTATTTTCATGGCAATATTGTGTAAGGGAAAAACAAGCTTGCTGTCTCCTTCCCCCAAAGAGCTTGCTGACTGGCCAGCCAAAACCTGCTTAGATCCCAGGGCACTGCTGTTGCTATGGCCTGGGAATTCATCCTACAGACACTCTGGTTCCTTGTGTGTGTGTATTTTAAGGGGAAGGGAGAAACTAAAGAAAAGTTTGTTGCTGTTAGCATTTATAATGAGGCAAGTCCCAGTCTCCCTACAGAGACTCTTTTCTGCCCATTTATAATAATGGCACAACCCAGGTTTGTATCCTTGAAACAAGTGTGTTTAGCAGGAAAGGAAGTTCTTGGGGCACTGAATCTGGGTTGATAGACTGGACATAGAAATGCAGGATGTCCATGGAAACATCTACCCTAATACTGGTAGTTAGATCTGTTACTGGATTTCCCTCTTTAAGGCCTTAGACCCACTACTGTAACCTACCACATGTTTGCCGAGTGCTTCTGATACATCTGAGTATAATAGTCCTCAAAGAGTCCACTCACTCACTGAATTGTAATTGTGTTATGCAATATTCATTTATTTGACCTTTTAGCATGAGATAGGTGCTTAAAGGAAGGTCTCAATGTAGTCAAAGAGTAGGGTCTTAACTAAYGAAGAAAGGGTCCAGCTCCTTTGCTTTAATCAATAAACTCTGCTTACCCAAATTCGTACACTGGATTGGTAAGACCAGAGAATATCAGTGAAATTTATAATGGGATTTAGAGGCAATCTCAAAGTGATAACCAACACATGATTCCTTGTTCTGGTGCTAACTATAATAAAAAGACTTTGCTTAAACTTATGGAATAGTGGGAGTTTGACCCTGTCATCCTGGGGGATGATTATTGAATTTTCTTCTTTAGGAATCATCAGGGACTATATTATAGCACTCATCCAGGGTGAGGAAGAAATCTTTTATCCTTTCCATCGCCACTTTACATGCCCCACTCCTCAGGACAAGAATTTTTTTTTTAATTAAAAAATATTTTTTAGTTGTTGATGGACCTTTATTTTCTTCCTTCCTTCCTTCCTTCCTTCCTTCCTTCCTTCCTTCCTTCCTTCCTTTCTTTCTTCCTTCCTTTCTTTCTTTCTTTCTTTTTCTTTCTGCTGAGACTTGAACCCAGGGTCTTACACATGCTAGGCAAGCACTCTACCACTGAGCCACAACCCCAGCCCAGGACAAACTTAATATGTGAAATAATGGTCTCATTACGTTGTCCTGTGGAATTTATTTATTCTTTGGGAATTTTGGACGAATCAAAATGATAGATACCAGGTACCCAAGGGAAACATTGTGAGGTACCACTCCACACCCACTACTGGAGGATGTGGGGTGGTTTGATTAAATATTGATTATAGTTTTTAATGGTCAAATAGCTCCCTTTTGGTGTGACAGTCTTTGTTATTGTCATTATTTTTATGACACTTCCTTCCCCCCCCCTTTTCTTTTGGTACTGGGTATTAAACCCAGAGGCACTTTGCCCCTGAGCTACATACTCAGTCTTTTACTGTATTTTCTAAATTTGAGAAAGGATTTTGCTAAGTTGCTGAGGGTCTCGTTCAAATGCCAGGCCTGGCCTTGAACTTGTAATCCTTCTGCCCCAGCCTCCTGAGTCTCTGGGTTTACAGGTGTGTGCTACCACACCTGACATCATGAGTTGTTTCTTTTTTTCCCCATAAGAAAGGGTCTCACTATTTGCTTAGTGAGACCCCATGTTAACAAACAAGCCTACATTGCACACCCTTTCTGAATGAGACACCCACCTAGGAAGTGGAAATCCAGAAATGAACTGATATTTGTGTCTTGCCACAAAGGTACAACTTGTATGATCTGCAAAACATCTGTGATCCTCAGTAGTGCTGTTGGGTCTCATTTGCTTATCTGGAACTGGTGGATAATGTCTTAGACTCAGGGTAATACACAAAATATGATTGCTGTTAAAATTTGAAGTTACCTGAAGTAACTTTGGCTATTAGTCTGAAAAGCAGAGAAAGACAGCATCTCCAATTTGAGGTTAACACAGTCAACCTCAGTAGGGAAAGTGACTTACAGGAAGTCAGGAATTGGGAGAAATGGGCATCCCAGAACTTGTATTGGAATGAAGGATTCTGACTTTTCCATGAATCATGCCTGTAGCCAAAATGTATAGAATAGGTTCAAGCATTCTCATCTGAACTTCCCAAAGGCATATATATGTTTAAATCTGCCTCAGTCTAGTCCAAAATAAGCAAACCATCCTCCAGTGTATATAAACTACATGAACAAACAAATTCCTCAAGAAGACAAACAAGCTGGGTATGGTTGTACATGCCTTCAGTGGCTCAGGAGGCTGAGGCAGGAAAATTGCAAATTCAAAGCTATCACCTGAAATTTAGTGAGGCTGTAAGCAATTTAGCAAGAACCTGTCTCAAAATAGAAATATAAAAAAGGGCTGGGGTTGTGGCTTAGTGGTTAAGCACCCCTGGATTCAACTCCTGGCAATTCCCCACACCTCAGCAAAAAAGCAACAAAACAACAACAACAACAAAAATCTCATAATGAAATGTATATTATGTTAATTAAAGAGGAAAAAAAAATTAAACTAAACCAAATAGGCAGAGTTCCACCAACTGCTGACATCACATATTTTAGCATAGCTAAATTTGGTCAAAGTTTATCAAGTTGGGTATGGGAAGCACAGTGAATGCGATATTTTCTGGGATAAACTGTAGAGAGTGACTTTCTCCAGGTGTGTCTTTGTTGCRTAGGAGCAAGGTATTGTGAGCTTCTCTGCTGGCCCTGGTGAGTAGTCCATGTGCATCTGTTTTATAAGTCACAATGTGGATTCCTCACACTTTAACATTGCACTTGACTCCATCCTCCAAGATGAAAGGTAAAGTCTCTTTGGAAGCTCCATTAATTTTGTGCTTGCTCAGCAGGAGCTTTATAAAACATGTAAACAATAATTGGCTTAAGTAAAGTTTATTAATTTTTTTTTCTTTTGTGACGGGAAATGGTCAAATGCATCATCAGACTATTCAGGGACCAGTATGAATCAAGTGACTTTTCCTTGCATAAACAGCTATGCCTATTTTCCAGTAAGCGCTAATTCTCTTCTGGCCTTCTTCCCCCAAASGGCCCTGGCAAATTGCGGTGATGCCAGGTCACCAGCAACTTCTTGGCAACCTCAGGTGCTTCTCTTCTGTGAAAAGAGGAGCCAAGATTATCTCTGAGCTTTGGTCACATGTCTAAAGATCATTTGGGCAGACTTAGTCTGGACCATTAGATGTAGACCTGTCTAGTTGACAGAATGACAACCAAAGCAAAGCCATAACAGGACTCAGCTTGGTTCCCCAAATCGAATTCCCCTTTAGTGTCAGCAGGAAACTGAACTTTGTGGCTGATGCAGTAGCAGTTGGCGAGCTTTGGTTCTTTAGGAATAAAGGGTGTGATCATAAATGAATCCTGGCCTTTCTCCAGTGTTTAAATTTGTCAAATACCAAAAAATCAACAGGAATCTTAAATTGGCTTGTCTGCTGCCACCTGGCTTTCCTACCACCTGCTATTTCTAGCCTGAAGCTGAGACGAACTGAACTCAGGCAGAAGGTACAACCTGAGAGGAACCCAGAAGGTGTCAATGAGCATAGGCAGGACCTACAGCTCACTGATGTTTAGATCCACATATCACTGATATTTGATCCAAAGCAGTAGTGACCTGACCATTCTTAAGGGTCACTAAAGGTCACCAGTAAGGTTTTCTTATCAGTGTCCTGGCTTTGGAGAGGACAGATATTTGCAGTGATGGGAATACTGTATACAGAGGAGTCTCAGGCAGGTGTGGGGCTGGACAGGACATGGGTGGGTCATCAGGGTGTTGCACTAGG